GAACTTTGGACTTAATTTATAATAACTTGAACTTAATTAGGAATATGATTATTTATTTGAAATCTTAAGCTTAAGTAGAATTTTTTGGTTGGTATAAATTTTGAACTTTAGACTTTAGAACTAATTAATTAGAACTTAGAACTTCATGTTGTCATGAATTACTTGAACTTACTTAGACACTTTAATTTTAGAACTTTAATTATACTTGAAATAGATTTTTTGTAATTTAACTTGGAAAAATTAAACTTGAATGTATGATTAACTTAGAACTTAATTACAGTTTATAATTACACCTTAGAACTTAATTATAACTTGAATTTGTAAGAGCTTTAACTTAGAACTTAGAACTTGAAATTTATTATTAGGTTGTGAACTTTAGAAATCTTGATAAAATGTAGTCTTTATGAATTAATTAAGCTTGAACTTTGTAGATCTTGAAACATAGTATTTATGAACTAATTAGGTATATAAATTAGCTAAATATATATAAGTAATAATAAAATAGATATTAAGTATAAATATATTTATTAACAATATAAATTAGTTTAATCTAGTTAGATTATTATTAAATTTTATTTATAATTGTATATCAATATTTTTGTAAATGGATCATCGTTTGTGGATGTATATGCATTATGAAACTGGTGATGGTTTGAAACATGAGTTTATTGACGATGTTAGAGATTTTATTAAACATAAACTAGCACTTGATATTTTCAAGAACAATATATTGGTTAGGTGTCCATGTAGTCCATGTAGGTGCTTGAAATTTTTTAAAGCAAATACAATCATGGTTCATTCATACAGTAATGAATTTAAGCCTAGATATTTTGTATGGATTGATCATGAAGAAAGAGATGAATTGAATGGTATGTTTTATAATTAGATGTATGTGGATGAATATATTATGCTTGCACCACATGGGTAAATTATGGTTGAACATGATAGAGTTCATGAAATGATCAATAATGATTTTGGGGTTCAAGGAGGGATGGAATCGAACAATATTTTGATTGAGCTCATAATGAAGAAGCAAGACATTTTTATGACCAAATAGAAGAGTTTAGTCGTCTATTATGTGAAGGGAGTCCGCATTCTGCCTCATCAGTTGCGATTAGATTAATGAATATTAAATCAGATTAGAGTGTTCCTAATGCGGCTATGAACTCAATGGTTGATATTTTGGGTAAACTAGTTAATCCAGAGTTTAACATATCTAAGAACTTCTATCAAGCAAAGAATTTGGTTTCCAAATTAGGAATGTCGTACGATAGAATTCATTCTTGTGTTAATGGCTGCATGTTGCTTTAGAAGACTGATGGTGAATAAGAAAATTGTACGTTTTGTGAACATGCTCGTTATAAGAGGGCTTCTGCTGGAAAGATGGTCACAGTTAAGGCGGTGCATTATTTTGTCATGCCCCAAGTCTGCACATTGGGGATGGCTAGCACTCGAGAACCATCGCTGGTCCCCAAGTGAACCCTTGGCCTAGCTCAATACTCAGCAGAAGACTTACTCAACAATATAGAAAACTCAAATGCAAAACTAAACTCATAATGTCTCATTAATAAAAATAGCTTAACTCAAACGATCGGAAATACTCAAATGAACATAAATATTCAAATCAAAGTCTTTAAAACATCAACAAGGGGAACTGGAAAAAGACTCCTTAACTACTACTATTTATGAAGCCTCTAAAAACTGTGAGGGAAGTCGGGACAAGACCCACGACCTCCTAACAAAACAAAACCATAATGTGAAGCCCTCTGGAAAGCAAAGAGGCTCACCAAAGCTAGCTTGAAATGCAATGGTATCAATGGAGCGCCTGTTGATGACCTTGAACACCTGTATCTGCATCATGAAAAGATGAAGGTCGAATGACGTTATTACATTGAATATACGAGCATGTAAGGGGAATATTGAAACATAACCATATACATGAACTGATAGAATTGGAAGACATACTCACCTCTGCTCAACTCAACTGAACTCAACTCAATAAGAATGAAATGATAATAATACGCAATAGATATAAAGCTTTAAAACAATAAACAATAACTCAAAATGAATAAAAATACAATAGTGGACTCTTTATTCTTTTTTGGGAGATTCTATAATGGACAATCATCACTATGAGCTACATGATGATACATCGTCTTGCCCACGCTGTTAGAGTTGTCCTATACCTTGACGGGGTATAGAACTCTTCAACTAAGTGGATCCACTAAGATATGCTTAAAAGCAATAAGGAATAATCTAAAAAGTATGATCCTTCACCCATGTTGGCTACATGGTTTATGACGAATGTGAGTTGTCTGAACTCATCCCCATATCAGTGCTCAATACTACTCCCAATAATATACATAACCCATGCTCAAATGTATAAAAACATAACTCATTCTCAAATTGAGAATTTTACTCAAAAGAGTCTTTCAAAAGAGATAATGCTCAAAAACTTCTCATAAACTTATTTAGAAATCAAGGTTTACTCTAGTTTTAAATGTAATAGTGCTTACACTTGGGAATACATAGTTCCCTTATTCTCATTTTGAAACATGAAAGACAACTCTCCTGATTCTCATACTCATTTATTCAAGTCTTAATTCAAGTTCTAGAAGATTGTATAAGACTTCTCAAAATGACTCAAAAGGTTTTTCGAACTTAACTCTTAATCCTTACTTTAATTTGAAATGAAGATTTAAGAGTTATAATTAGGAGATATATATATATATATATATATATATATATATATATAGGATCTCTCAATGATTAATGAAGGTTTAGATAGTTAGTATTAAGAAGAGAATGAAAGCTCAACTATAAGGAACAAGTACGGAACGAAGAACAGAAAGGAAAATAACATGATTCCCCTGGCACATCGGTGGCGTGCCGCGCCATGCCTCACTTTACTAGGGCTCAAATGGGGTGCACTGCAGGCACAGGGCGCCTGCCCTTCTGGCACCTTGGGGCGCGATACCCCACCCCAAACCCAGAACTTTTGACGAACTTTCTTGCTCAAATTCAAGGCCTAACTCATAGAATCGAATGATTTCCTCTAAATTCTCTTAGATTCATAAACCAAACATCGTTTCAATGAAAACTCACACAAAAATCTATCAAGAACCACATTCATTCACAAGAACCTCACCTCAAGAACTCAATAAGACTCAATTGTTAAAGAATGAAGCAAAAACCTCAAGAACTTCTGAAGAATTCAAATCAACTAACTTAAATTACGAATCCAAGGATTAATTTACATAATTGGCATGAGGGCGAACAAACCTAACACTATGAAAGCTTACATACCTCAAAGAACACTTGTTCTGGGCAAAATCCTCAAGTTCTTGAAATAACGCTTCAAACTCTTTTCCTTTCTCCTCTTGAATTTGCTCTAAAATTTCTAAACACTTTTGGAATGTCTAAAATTGACTTAGTCACTTGGGTGGGTAAAACGTGGGTAGGCCTTTAGGGATAAGGAAAAGACCAAACTACCCTTCCTTAAAATGGATGAAATGCCTTAACTTGACAGGCTTCACTCAAATGGGAATAACTCCTTCATTTGAACTCAGAATCTAGCAAACTCAGCGGTGTTGGAAAGAGGACTCAAAGTACTTCAATTCGGTACCTCATGGGCCACCTAAATCATTCTATGCTAAAAGTTATGGTCATTTGAAGTTGACCCAAAACTCACAATTGAAGATTAACTTGTACAAATCTCAGTTTAGCTCTTCCGAAGTCTGAGGTGTTACAATTTCTCCCCCTTGGGAACATTCATCCTCAAATGAGATCACTATAAGTGGAATAAGGGGTGGGAAAACATCAAACACCCAACTCAAACACCCAACATGCAATTTACATAACCCACCATATCAATTTAAAGAGTTATTGACAAAAGTGATTATCTTGGTCTGGGACTGGATCGGAAGGAAAGAGATGAGGGTATCTCTTCTTCATATCCTCCTCAGCTTCCCAAGTAGCTTCCTTAACAAATTGACTCCTCCATATGACTTTGACTAATGCAACCTCATTGGTCCTCAACTTGTGAACTTGACAATCAAGAATCTGAACAGGAATCTCCTCATAGGATAGGCTATCCTTTATACCAATGTTCTTAGTAGGTAAAATAAGTGAAGGATCGCCTATACACTTATTCAACATAGAAACGTGGTATATCGATTGAACTGTTGCCAACTCTGACAGTAGCTCCAACTTAGAACCTACACTGCCAATTTTCTTAGATATTCGGTAAGGACCAATGTATTGGGGTCTAAGATTCCCCTTCTTACCAAATCCCATAACACCCTTCATGGGTGAAACCTTCAAGTAACCCAATCACCAGCCTCAAATTCTAAGTCTCTTCTCCTAACATCTATATAGGATTTATGACAACTTTGTGCTATTTTCAACCCTTCTTGAATAATCTTCGCCTTTTCCATGGCTTGATGAACTAAGTTTGGCCCTATCAACCCAACTTCACCAAACTCAAACCATCCAATAGGAGATCTACATCTTCTCCCGTAAAGAGCCTCAAAAGGATCCATCTATATACTGGAGTGATAGCTATTATTGTAAGCAAACTCGATGAGAGGTAAGTGATCATATCAATTACCTTTAAAGTAGATCACACATGCCCTCAACACATCGTCTAAAGTATGAATAGTGATCTCTTCTTGACCATTTTTCTGAGGATGAAAAGTAGTGCTCAAATTCACCTTCGAACCCAAACCTTTCTTAAAAGACTTCCAAAACTGAGTGATAAATTGTGCACCTCTTTCTGAAATGATAGACACAGGAACTCTGTGAAGTCGGACTATCTCCTGGATATATAATTTAGCATAGTCTTCTGCTGAATTGGTAGCCTTTCCCGGCAAGAAATGGGCTGATTTAGTAATCCGGTCTACAATCACCCAAATCAAATCATGTCTCCTACGAGATCGTGGCAAGCCAGTAATGAAATCCATAGTCATCATCTCCCACTTCCATTCTGGAATATCTATATTCTAAGCAACACCACCGGGTCTTTGGTTCTTTAGCTTGACTTGTTGGCAATTTGGGCAGATAGCAATAAACTCTGCAATGCACCTCTTCTTACTACTCAACCAATAGACTTCCCTCAAGTCATGGTACATCTTTGTGGAACTGGGATGGATTGAATATCTGGAGCTATGAGCTTCCTCCATGATCCTCTCTTGGAGCTCATCCACTTTTGGCACACACAATCTACCTTGATACCTCAACACACCATCTCCCCCTTGTTCAAAAGTTATCACCTTCTGTTTATGAACATTCGCCTTTAGTTCAAGCAAAGTAGGATCTTGGTCTTGTTTCTCCTTCACTTCAAACACTAGTGTTGATTCATCCCCATTCATCACAACCACTCCACCTTCATTGGAATCTAACAAATGAACTCCCAAATGTTCAAGTTTGTGCACATCTTTGGCCAATTCTTTCTTGCTTTCCTCCACATGAGCAGCACTTATGATAGACAACCTGCTCAAAGCATAAGCCACAACATTAGCCTTACCTGGGTGATAGAGGATATTCATGTTGTAATCCTTGAGTAACTCTATCACCTGCTCTGTCTGAGATTCAGCTCTTTCTAACTGAAAACATACTGAAGGCTCTTGTTATCAGTGAACACATCTACATGAACACCATATAGATAGTGGCACCATATTTTCAAGGCAAATACTACCGCTGCCAACTCGAGATCATGAGTTGGGTAATTCTTCTCGTGAATCTTAAGATTTATGTAGGTATAAGCTATTACCGTTCGGCATCAATACACAACCAAGTTCAACTCTAGATGCATTACAATAAACAACAAAACCTTGCGTACCTTCCGGTAGGGTCAACAATGGGGCAGTAGTCAATCGAGTTTTCAATTCCTGAAAGATTTTCTCACAAGCTTCAGACCATTGAAACTTCACTGTCTTTTGAGTCAACTTTGTCAACGAGGATGAAATAGATGAAAACCCCTCGACAAACCTTCTATAGTAACCAACCAATCCCAAGAAACTCTTAATATCAGTTGGAGATATGGGTTCGGGTCAGATCTGCACCACTTCAATCTTCTGGGTATCAATTCAAATCCATTCACCAGATACAATGTGGCCTAAGAATGCCACATAATCAAGCCAAAACTCACACTTAGAAAATTTGGCATACAACTCCCTATCTTTGAGAGTTTGGAGGACTATTCTGAGATCATTAGCATGATCCTCCTCACTCCTCGAATAAATCAAAATTTCATCAATAAACATAATAACAAACATGTCAAGATATGGCTTAAACACTTAGTTCATAAGGTCCATGAATGATGCAGGAGCATTAGTCAAGCCAAAATACATGACAAGAAACTCATAATGACCACAACGGGTCTTGAATGTTGTCTTTGGAATATCATTCTCTCTTACCTTCAACTGATGATAGCCCAATTTGAGGTATATCTTAGAAAAGCAAGTGGCACCCTGAAGTTGATCCAATATATCATCAGTTCTCAAAAGTGGATACTTATTCTTGATAGTGACCTTGTTGATATGGCAGTAATCAATACATATCCTAAGCGAACCATCTTTCTTCCTCACAAATAGGAACGGAGCACCCCAAGGTGAGACACTAGGTCGAATAAAACCTTTATCAAGAAGATCTTTCAATTGCTCTTTTAACTCTTTTAACCCTAGAGCCATTATGTATGGCGGAATAGGGATAGGTCGAGTATCAGGAAGAATGTCTATGCCGAAGTCTATTTCTCTCTCATGAGGTACTCCAAGAAAACCATCGAGAAAGACCTTTGGAAACTCACTCATAACTGGAACTAACTGAATAGGCAGTGTCTCAACACTAGAGTCATTAACTCGGACTAAGTGATAGATGTACCCCTTAGAGACTAACTTTCTGGCATTAAGGTATGAAATAAAACGACCCTTAGGCACTGTTGAACTTCTCCTACATTCTATAACTGGCTCATTAGGAAACTGGAACCTTACTACTCGAGTTCTACAATCAACTGAGGAATAACACGCATAAAGCTAGTCCATACCTAGAATAACATCAAAGTCCACCATGTCTAGCTCGACTAAGTCAGTCATGGTGTCCTTTTGATTTACAGAGATGACAAAATCATGATATACTCTCTCGGCTAGAATAGACCCACCAACATATGTGGAAACACTGAAGGGCTCAAGAAGTCATTCGGGAAGAATATCAGATCTCATAGTTATGTATGGAGTCACAAAAGATAGACTCGTACTTGGATCAAGTAATGCATATACATCAAAAGTAAAAACTTTGATCATACCAGTGACAACATCTGGTGAATTCTCCTGCTCTTGGCATCTGGTGATAGCACACAGACAGTTTGCTCCTCCTCTTGTCCCTAAAGTATCTCCTCTAGGTGCAGCTTTGTCTACTGGAGCCGCTGAAGAAGATTGGGCTATATTACCCCATTACCATTACCCTACATGTTCTTATGTCACTCTCTCATAAAGTGACCACTCTGACCACACTTGAAACAACCAGTGGAGCCATCACAATACGCTCCTGGGTGGTTTCTACCACACTTAGCACATGTAGGAGTCTAGTTGGCCCCTTGTGCCACACTACCCTGAGATTGAGTAGGTCAAGCTCTAAAGTTCTACGAATTCTGATTCCTAAACTCACCTCTGCTCTTTGATGCAGGTGCACTAGCAGATGATGGGGCAGGCCCAGTTGTTCTTCAGACTCATTACCTATTTTTTTGTCCCTCTTATTACGAAACTCTTCCCCATCTTTCAACTTGTCTTCCTCAGCCTGCTGCACATGGATCATTATTCTGGCTCTCTCTATGTCCCTTATCAACATAGTAGTGTTACCCTTTTTACTCGACAAGTGGGATAGTCCAGACACAAATAGGCTCATCCAACTCCTCATATCAGCAACCATCTCCGGAGAATAACAGGACGGTTGGGTGAACTTGAGGTTGTACTCATGCACACTCATGGATTCCTGTTTAAAAGTGAGAAATTTTCTTACCTTTGCCTCTCTCAACTCATGGGGAAAGAAACACCCCATGAAAGCACTTTCAAACACATCCCAGCTCACAATTGGTACCCCTTCAGCTTTGTTCTTCTTCCATTGGTCATACCAAATCCTAGCAACACCCTTGAGTTGGTATGCAACTAACTCTACGTGCTCAGCATCAACAATCCGCATCACTTCAAATGTTTTTAGTAGCTCCTCCACAAAGTTATCCCGATCCTTTGTGATATTTTACCCTGTGAATTTCAGAGGATTCATTCTCAAGAACTCACGGATCTTGGATGTATCAACCACATCCTGAAGAACCACTCTTGTTAACCAGTTTGATTGGCCACAATGTGACTTAACATCTGGATAGCATCCCGAAATTTAGCATTTTGTTTCATCTCCTTAAGGAGGTTGCACTTCTAATGAATTGGGAACCTCTTGATCCTGGGGATCAACATTTCTCTAACAGGACAACCTTAAACAGCTCTTCGTGAAGGCATGATCCGAAAAGATATGCGCAGGCACAAACTAGAAAGAAACTTTTATAGGTTTGAATTCTATCACACGAAAAAGAGTAAGAAGGAAGAGAAATGTTTCCTAAATGTTGTAGCCTTCTAATTATCGATGTGGGGTGCTTCACACCAATAACAAGGACTCTACAGACAAGGCTTCATAGACACCCTAGGACTCTTGAATTCTGTGCTCTAATTCCAAGTTTGTCATGCCCCAAGTCTTCTCACGGCCTAGGGGTACCCCCTAGATGTACCATGGCGTACAAGACCCCGAGAGGCCTCATACAAGCCACTTAGCTTTCATATTCAAGATAATAAAAATCAAAAAGATTTACAACATTATTTCAACATAACCAATTTTTTCAGAACAAAACAAAAGTCTAAACTCAAGTCTCAAAAACCATCTAATACAATAGAATTTTGGGACGTTGCCCGTACATCAATGTTCAAAAACTTAAAATGAAAAGAAAATAAGGAGAGTAGTGGCCAAATCCTCGGATGAATCAGGACTCACCAATGTTCAACTTTCTTCTACTATGGATCCTAGCCACGGAGGTGAGAATTCAGAACGCCGGTCCCGACATTTGTATAAGAAATGTAAGCAAGAGTATGTGTTAGTACAAAAATGTACTAAATATGATAGCATGCATAAACATAACATAACATAAAAGTTAGACAATATAAGTCATGAGGCATAATCAATGCACATAATAAATCATCTTAACATGTAAGGAGTACTTCTTCAAGTAACCTTGATTCATCCTTAGTCAAGACATGATTAACTGCCTCTAGTCTTACTCATCGTGGAAGGAAAACTCAAGCAACAATCCAAGCTTATCACCTACCATAACATACCATAGCTTATCTTTTAAGGACATGGGGAATCGCATCTTGCTTTCTTATGAAGGGTCAAGGGTAATCACTTCTTTTCCTTTCACCTTAGGATCATGGGTAATCGCCTCTAGTCCAACTTGCATTATAGAAATGTGGGTAATCGCCTCTTGTCTATACATCATGTGACATGGGTATTCGACTCTTGTCTTTCTATCATATGACAAGGGTAATCGCCTATTGTATTTTACTTAGAGGTCATGGGTAATCGCCTCTAGCCTCATCATTTTCATAATTCCTTGGCTTAGATTCACTTTGGGTGAGAAATCTCTTCAACCTAGAATCATTCAATGTGAGAAAGCCTTTCAAATTCATACATAAGAAATCATGTGGGAAAATTTATTCCACAACAACCAGCTCAATAATCAACAATTGATAACATATGCTTCCCTCTCAAAGCAATTCTTATAATAAATCATCACATATGCTTCAATCTCAAAGCAACTAGTATTGTATCTTATTCATCCTATAAGAGTACACATAAATCCATAAATTCTCCTTGTATAGAGTAAAACCCATTTTAAATCAATTTCATCTAAGAAACATGGGTTAAGCATGGGTACATGGAATTTAATCATAAAAACATAGAATACTCTCAATTAATGCATAATCAATCATAATTCAATCAATTGAACCAATATCCATAAGAACCCGTAACTTGGAAGAAAACCCTAACTCAAATTGGGGAATTTCTACTTTTAAATGTGGAGAACTTTGGGGATCTATGGATGCAAGGATTCCATGGCTGAAAATCTATCATACCTTGCTATAAAAGCCCAAAAGTGATGGAAGAATTGAGGCTTGACCTTGAACCCTAGCTTCAATATTCTTCTTCAAACTTCTAGAGAGAGAAATATACTTAGGAGAGAAAGACTCGAATTCTTTTGGTGAATTTGAAGAGAATGAAGTGAATGAATTAATTTGGGGTTAAAATCAATTATATAGGGGTCCTAGGCATAAGCAAAATGACATAGTATTTTTTTAAAGAAATCTAGAAAAGACCCAAAAGCCCCTGAACTTACAGCTGACATAGTCCCCACACGGCAAGGTCCACGAGCCGTCTGGGCTGTCGTGGCCCTTGGACCAGTGGCCTAGAAAACTTACCCCAAAATCCTATCCCTCTCACGACCCACTCCACGAGCCGTCTAGTGGATCGTGTAGAGGGTCAGCCTCAGAGGGGCTAATGCCTCCCCCTTCACGAGCATCACTACGCGTCGTGGTGCTCACCACGAGACATCTAGGTGCTCGTGAGATGGTATCCCTCCTTGGCTCAACATTGTGAGCCTTCACGAGCTAGACCACGCCTCGTGGTTCCCTTCACGGCTCATCTGGGCCTTCGTGAAGGGTGCCCAGGTTCAGTCTTTGGCTTAAGACCTCTCACTTTGTCCCTTGCTTAGTATACTAGACTCCGAGGTGTTACATTATCTCCCTCTTAGGAATATTCATCCTCAAATGGGATTCTAGACATCAAATAGAGACAAGAGTTCTATCATATCAACCCATCATGAATGAAATCACATAAATGCACATATCCGAGGAAGAAACATCAACTCCAAGCTAAAGCATGTTCAAAACATCATCTCATGAAGTCTATATGCAACTCATACTTAATGCACATCAACATGAGGATGTAAACTCATTTTCTTTCAAAATCCAAGTTTTTCATGAATATGCATAAAATGATGGATCATGGAAATATCTAAGACACATGACACCAAAACAAAGAGTAAACCATGAGGAACTCATTACCTCAAGGTAAAGTAGGGGTAGAAGGAAAAAGATGAGGATATCGGGATATCATATTGGCCTCAGCCTCCTAAGTAGCACCCTCAACTAACTGATTCCTCCACAACACTTTCACAGAAGCAACTTCTTTATTTCTTAACTTCTTGACCTGCCGGTCTAAAATCTCTACCGAAACTTCCTCATAAGAAAGATTCTCATCGACTCCCAAACCTTCTAAGGTAACTATGGATGTCGGATCTCCAACACACTTTTTCAACATAGAGACATGGAAAACTAGATGCACCGATGCCAATTCATTAGGCAATTCAAGTTCATAAGCAACCTTACTAATACGCCTCAAAATATGATATAGGCCTACATATTGAGGACTAAGCTTCCCTTTCTTACCAAACCTCATTACACCCTTCATGGGTGACATTTTCAAGTAAACCCATCATGAACATCAAACTCAAGATCTCTTCTTCTCATATCGGCATATCACTTTTGCCGACTTTGAGTTATTTTCAACCTTTCCCTAATAAGTCAAACTTTCTCCATAGCATCATGCACCAACTCGGTACCTATTAGTGCAACTTCACCCACCTCAAACCAGCCTATAGGATACCTACACCTCCTACCATACAAAGCCTCAAATGGAGCCATACCAATACTTCAGTGATAACTGTTGTTGTATGCAAACTCGATCAAAAGAAAGTGATCATCCCAATGACCTATAAAATCAATCACGCAAGCTCTCAACATATCTTCCAAAGTTTGGATAGTACGCTCCGCTGGCCCATCGATTTGGGGGTGAAAGGTCGTACTAAGCTTAACACGAGTACTAAGACCCTTTTGGAAAGATTTCCAAAACTGAGAAGTGAATTGAGTACCACGATCAGAGATAATGGATAAAGGCACTCCGTGCAACCTTACCATTTCCCTCAAATACAACTTAGAATAATCTTCCACCAAATAAGAAACCTTGACAGGAATGAAATGAGTTGATTTCGTCATTCGATATACTATAACCTAAATCAAATCATATTGTTGCCAGGTACGAGGAAACCCTATCATAAAGTCCATATTCAAATCTTCCCACTTCCAAAGAGGAATGCTAATATCTTGGGACAAACCTCCCGGTTTCTGATGTTCAACATTTGTTGACAATTAGGACACTTAGCCATAAACTCTGCAATATCCTTCTTCATCCTATTTCACCAATAGACCTCCTACAAATCGCGGTACATCTTGGTGGCTCCCAGGTGAATGGAATATCTTGAACTATGGGCTTTCGATAAAAATTGTTCCCTCAAGTCATCAACATTGGGAACACACAAACGACCTTGATAACGAAGCACACCATCTCCCTCTTGGGAGAAAGCCTAAACAGACTTTCTAAGCACCGCTTTTTTTAACTCAACTAAGGGCAGAACAAGACTTTGCTTGACTTACACATCCGCCACAAAAGATGATTATGAACCATTTTGAACCACAAAACCACCCTTGGTGGAATCTATTAACCGAACACCCAATCTGGACAATCTATGTACATCTCGCACCAATTCTTTTTTACCATCCTCAATATGGGCAACACTACCCATTGATAATCGGCTAAGAGCATATGCCACTAATAGAGAACACTCATATCATAATCCTTCAATAACTCAAGCCACCTTCTTTGGCAAAGATTTAGCTCTTTTTGATTAAACACATATTGTAAACTCTTATGGTCGGTGAAAACATCTACATGAACACCATACAAGTAGTGCCTCTAAATCTATAAGGAAAAAACAACCGCCCCTAATTCAAGATCATGGGTAGGATAATTCTTTTCATGAACCTTAAGTTGCCTTGAAGCAAAGGCAATAACCTTCACATTTTGCATAAGCACACATCCTATCCCAATTCTTAAGGCATCACAATAAACAACAAAATCATTAATCTCTTCCGGCAAAGTCAACACTGGAGCGGAAGTCAATCTATCTTTCAATTCCTGAAAACTCTTCTCACATAATTTGGACCATATGAACTAAGCCTTCTTTTGAGTCAATGTTGTCA